CAGCCACAGATGGTGTCAGGGTCGCCAGGCCTACCAAGTGCGCGGAACTGCGCATCTCGGGCCTGGACGACTCAGTGACGGCCGAAGATGTCCGCGCTGTAATCCGGGAGAAGACGGGGTGCAGCGCGGACAACGTCAGGGTCGGCACCATCCGCCCCGGTCCAGGAGGGCTTGGCGCCGTGTGGATCAGCTGTCCCGTAGCGTCGGCCAAAGTATTGGCCGACGCTGGCAGGCTGCTCATCGGTTTCGTGAGCGCCAGGATCACAGTCCTGGCGGCGAGACCGATGAGGTGCTACAAATGCCTAGCATCGGGACACACGCGCGTCAAGTGCGACAGCTGTTTTGACTGCGGCGGACTGTGTTTCCGCTGCGGTCAACCGGGGCATAAGGCGGCAGAATGCTCTGCCGCCCCTCACTGCCCAGCGTGTGCGGCGGGCAATAAGCCCGCCAATCACCAGATGGGGCAGAGAGGCTGCAAGCCTCCCCGCAGTTCTCGGCAGACGTCAGGGGCTAGCCAGTCGACCCAGGCTGCCTCCGATGTAGTTCGTGCGTCGACGTCGTCGCCCATGGAGGAGGTTGTAGAGACGATCCAGTAATGGATCAAGTCTCCAACCTCCTGGTCCAGACGAACCTGAACCACTGTGCCGCGGCGCAGGATCTCTTCCTGCAAACCATGGCACAGTGGTCGATAGGTGTTGCCGTAGTCGCGGAGCCCTATTCTGTCCCTCCCCGTCCAAACTGGATGGGTGACTGGGACGGCTCCGTGGCAGTCGTCGGTTCCACGACGGCTCATTCCCCGCCCTTGTCGCTAAGAGACAAGGGCACTGGATATGTTGCCGTCGAGTGGGGGGGGGATCACCATATATGGTGTCTATTTCTCCCCCAACCGGAGTTTGAACGACTTCAAGGTTTTCCTAACCAGCTTGGAGACCTCGATACGGCGACTAGCGTCTGGGCACGTCCTTGTGCTGGGGGACTTCAACGCAAAGTCCATTGCGTGGGGTTCCCCCAGGACGGACGCAAGGGGCGAGGCCGTAGAGGAGTGGGCGGCCTCGGTGGGCCTCTGTCTTCTCAACAGAGGCTCCACCAACACGTGCGTGCGACAGCAGGGGGGGTCGATAGTGGACCTCTCGTTCGCTACCCCTGCCCTCGCCGCACGAGTAAGGAACTGGCGTGTCCTGGAAGAGGTTGAGACGCTCTCGGATCACCTGTATATCCGATCTGAGCTCTCCCGGACCCAGGACTCCAGTAGGGGTCACGTGGCGCGGCGTTTATCCCGCTTTCCGCGGTGGGCTGTTGCCAGACTGAACCGGGACCTACTAGAGGAGGCAGCCATGATTCACTCGTGGCTGTCTCCGCAGGCTCCGACCGAGGAGGTTGACGTGGGGGCTGGTCGCTTTCGCGATGCGATTACGCATATCTGCGATGCGGCCATGCCCCGCATTCGAGGTCGTCGGCCTCCAAGGAAGGAGGTCTACTGGTGGTCCCAGGAGCTGGCGGACCTCCGTGCGGCCTGTACACGTGCCCGTGCCGTTTCAAGAACACCGCCCCTGGGCCAGACGGGGTACCGGCCCGAGTGCTGGCCCTGGCCCTCAACCACATGGCAGACCGCCTCGGGGAGGTGTTCGACGCTAGCTTGGCGTCGGGACGCTTCCCTGAGTGCTGGAAGAGCGGGAAGCTGGTCCTATTGAGGAAGCCGGGACGGCCTGCCGATTCGGTCGCGGCCTATAGGCCCATCGTGCTGCTGGACGAGGCGGGCAAATTGTTTGAGAGGGTTCTTTCTGCCCGCATCGTCCGGCGCCTCTGCGAGGTGGGCCCCGATCTGTCGGACGCCCAATTTGGTTTTCGGGCGGGGCGTTCGACAGTCGACGCCGTGTTGCGCCTGAGGGCCGTGACCGAAGAGGCCGTGAGCTGTGGCGGCGTGCTGTTGGCGGTGTCATTAGACATCGCCAACGCATTCAATAGTCTGCCATTCAGCTGCATCAGGGAAGCACTCCACTATCATGGGGTGCCAAAGTACCTGAGGCGGCTGGTGGCAGACTATTTAGAGGAGCGTACCGTCGTGTACGAGGACCGAGAAGGTAATCTGAGGTGTCGGCCCATGTCGTGCGGTGTTCCACAGGGGTCTGTTCTTGGACCCCTCTTGTGGAACATAGGGTACGACTGGGCCCTTCGCGCCGATTTCCCCCCCGGGCTGGGTGTAATCTGTTACGCAGACGATACCCTCGTGACAGCCCGGGGGGCAAACTTCCAAGAGGCGGCGCGCCTGGCCACAGGGGGAGTCTCCCTGGTGGTCGGGCGCATTGAGGCGCTGGGCTTACGGGTGGCCCTAGATAAGACTGAGGCCCTGTTATTTCATGGGCCCCGTCGTGGTCCACCCCCTGGCGCCTCAATAGTGGTCAACTCGGTCCTCGTACCGGTTCGGTCCCAGATGAAATATCTGGGCCTGATCCTCGACGGGAGGTGGCTCTTCGACGAGCACTTCCGACAGCTTGCTCCAAAGCTGGTCGGCGCTGCGTCTGCCCTAGGGCGACTTTTGCCCAATATGGGTGGACCCAGCGTCGCGACAAGACGGCTGTACACGGGGGTTGTCCGGTCCATGGCACTGTACGGTGCACCGGTGTGGGTGGCGGCTCTGACCGCCCAGAATAGGGTACGCCTCTGGCGCCCTCAGAGGGTAATGGCGGTCAGAGCCATACGCGGTTACCGCACCGTTTCGACGGAGGTGGCGTGCGCGTTGGCCGGAACTCCCCCGTGGGATTTGGAGGCGGAAGTGCTCGCCGAAGTTTATCGGCGAGTGGCTGACTACCGGGCGGAGAGCGGATTTCGCCCTCCGCCCGAGGATGTGCGCGAGTGGCGCGAAGCCGCTCGCCGAGCCACGATGGCTCGTTGGTCGTTCCGGCTGGAGACTCCACGCGCTGGCTTCGCCGCCGTGGAGGCTCTCCAGCGAACCTAGGCTCGCTCTACGGCGAACCGGGCGGCGGAGGCCCGCATATCACAGCCTCATGCCGCCCTGAGTGTGGCCGCGGGTGGACGGGGTGGGTTTCCCCTCCACCCGCATTAGTTTGGCCAGCCGCGAGGGGGCGGCGTCCGCGTGTGCCGGACGCCGCCTAAAGAGAGGAACATCATCGAGACGGAGCCCGCAGCAGGAGCGGGCTGGCGCTAGGAGGGGTCCGGATGTCTTAACAACAGCTGTTCCCGGATCCCTCCTGTTACAGGCGCAGAGTGGCACACCGTGTGGTTTTAGTCGGTCCGAGTCCGACACACCACCACGCCGCAAACCCCGGAGGGGTGACGGTCCGAGGGGATTTCCACACGTTAAAAAAAAAAAAAAAGGGTTTGTGACAAGTTTTCCCTTTCTTTTTGCAGTACTGTTGTTCTGCGTAGTTTGCTCCTTAGTCGGGACACCCACGGGGTGGTGACACTCCTTAGTCTGTATTCTTAATGCGTCACAATACGGACATGCAGGTCCTTAAACTTGTATAGTAAATCATATCAGAAAAAGAATAGATTATAATGCTGTTCATCTCCGGCCAGATGTGGAAATTTACATTTACATTGTAAGTACTTGTTTAAATAGTCATTATTTACAACTTTATGTTTTGTTTACTACTCAAGTATAACGAAAATTTATTTTGGCTTAGATCTTTTGTCCTTTAAGGCACTTCGCCAATACTCGACTAGTGAAGAGCTCTTATCTCCGAATTATTAAGTTAGTAAAGTACCACTCTCTTGGAGGCATTATTTAAATGTATTCGAAGTTACTGATATCATTAGTGCTTTGTCAATACACGCATTCCTTTCATACGCAAGACCGTTTTATTATCTTTGATCAGAAATCACTATGTTTTTACTTGTTTTTATGTTCGAGGGGGCAGACGAGAAGACGGGTCACCTGGGCCTCAATTCTGCTATTTTATGTTCACGGCAAGCCACTGTCATACCACTGACACGCTATTGAGATGCCATCGAGTGGCCATTGGCATCGGTATAAATATCGGTGAATGTAAAATAGCAGAATTGAGGCCCTGATGGAAAGTGACCATCGCCGTCCATGAACGTTTGCAACTCAGGAGTCACTAACGCGGTACCATTGGAATCTTCTGAAGTGCACTAATAAATTATAGATTTTATTTGTGACGATGACTCCATGTGTACATTAGTTGATTTTAATAAGAAAACTAGGAGAAATAATCTATATAATAAGAAATATACTCGTAAATTCTTTTAACGTTTATTAATTAACTATTGGTTTAGGGCTAAACAGTTTTTAACACGCTTTTATTAGGATGATATGTATGTATGTAACGGCATCTTCAAACATGATTTTGACTCAATTCAAAACGTTGGTTTAAATTGAAACTTCGCACACTTATCAAGGACTGATGACAGTACAATAATTTAATAAATTAGGCCGATTATTCTGAACAATATTTTCATTTTTATTATAGTTAATATATGTATATAAACACGCTTTTGTAAGTAGTTGAATTAAAAGGTAGAAAATGATTTTCTATAATTTAAAAAAGAAACACCATTTTATCATAAAAAAGCGGCGGCTACTTTACAAGATATTTGATAATATAATAACTTTACTTTTACCAATTATCTTTAAATAAAATATTTTTACAACCATTGAAATAAGTATAGCTGTTTTTTTTTTTTAACTATAATTTATTTCTTGAATAATGTCAAACAACACTCGATCAAATTCAATCAAATCAAATTTCTTTTAAATCCGTTTATTTAATAAGAAGCTTTGAAGCTGTGTATTCGTAGTTTGGAGAATTTGGACGTAGACGTGATCATCTCCATGTCGAGGTACGTGAAGTACGTCACCAAAAAAAAAGATACCTACACAGCAACACAATAACAACATCAATCTTTTTTGCTACTCAGCGTTGAAATGGTCCATGGGATATGTTACAGCTTTGATCAGCTGGTGTGCAGACTCTAAGCTGTTCAAAAAACTATGTAATAATATGTCAATATTTACTTACTGATATAAAAACCTCTTCAGCTTGTTGTAAGATAGCTATTCTTGACCAGCCAAACTTCTGCATTAGTTTAATTCTAGTCGGATTGTGTACGGTAGCCGAGGGATGAGTGCGGAATAATGTCGGAAACCGGGCGCGGTCTGATAATGCCGGCGATGATGCACCGTAGCATAGCTAGAACAAGAAAATTTATAGCTTGAAGAGTTCTTCTTTTCTATGCTTCAAACACATAAAAACTTTTATACTTTCTAGGACTAAAATGAAATAAGAGTATAATTTTCTCATTATCCTGTAAATTTTTATTCTTTGTTAGGCTGACTTTTGCCGCCGGTATTATTGAACAAAATATTTTTACAAGTAAAATAATTAAGGCGGGAAGTCTCATTCAACAAACAAAGGCCGACAGGCTCAGTAACATTATAACTGGATTAATTAAACAGCTCAAATAATTCATACTTCAAGAAAAAAAATAACCTATAAAACGTTGTTTTATTCTAGAATCTCAATATTCATAAACTTTAGATTTACTACAATACAGTTGACTAATCGCAAAAAGTTGTAATAATAATGTTCTTACTGTCCGTCTTCATTTTCATGAAATTGAGCGATTACAGATTTCAGAAAGGTTAAGAGTCGAGCCTAACAATATATTCTATCACTTTATGACATGCAAATATGTGGATATACAATTACATGTAATATGATCACACAAATTAAATGTCAATTTTATTGTATTATGTAAGCTGAACGCTGTAGATATATTTATTATCCCTCTGGTTAATTATTTCGAATTAGACAGAGTTTTTTGTGTGACTTGTTTTTATTGTTATTTTTTTGGTGTACTAATACTGCTGCTATCGGGAATTGATTGGTATAATTTAGTGACCTTTACTTACGTTACTTACTTACCTTTACTTTTACTAAATCTACAATGATCGGTGAAAACCCGTGTAGTTGTGTTACAAGAAATTAGGAAAAGAAGAACATTTATCATGAGAATAACTTTTGTAAGTTTCGTATCTTCATTTTAAATACCTTTATACAAAAGATTCTTGACGAAGTTGATAAAATCCCAGCTATGTGGACATGTGTCAAAAAAAGTACAAACTATATCCCAAAGCTCAAGTTCAGAAGTTCCACTAAAGTTGTTTGAATAAGAAATAATGTTACTTTTTTAAAGAGGGAATGTAATTTATAAGTTTTCGAAGTTTTGTTGCTTAAATGGAGATATTGTGAGATTTAAGCCTGGAATAATACCTAGTTTAGTTTTTTTGATGTAATCTACCTAAAGTGTGACTGAGCAACAAAAATACTTACGACCATAAGGTTCCACATTTTAGCAGCTTCAGCAACTGTTGTGCAAACTGTAGAACATCCGGCGAGTAGCAGCAACTTTTGAGGAGGATTGTACAGCAGGTTGTACATAACGCTGGCGCCAAGACCCGGCTCGCACTGATGATCATAGTTGACATTTGAATTATTTGGACGTTAATGAATCTAGACTCTTTGTTAGTTAAGTAGTTTTTACTAAACAAATAGTCTGTTGGGTTAAATTGTTATGGAAATTGAAATAGTATACGTAAGAAAAAATGCAGAAAGATTGGGAAAAGTGAAATAACTGAGCGTTGATAAGAAAATTACAGACACCAGGTTTACGCATGTATTAAACTTTTATAACAGGGCCTTTTTTATAGTAATTGCGTGATATAGATAAATGTTATCCATGCGCACACGTTTACAATAATAGAGCGATTTGACTATAGGTATTCCCTAGGCACATCAGAGTTTAAAAAGAAGGCATAATTCTTAGCGAGGCTGTTTGAACCGCTCTCAAAGTTTACGGAGCATTAAATAAGTAGACCTTTCCAGTGTGTTTTACTAGGAAATTCATATTCATGAATCACAAAATTGTTTAACGTGTTTCAATTACTTAGTTAAATTCTCAGTCAGGTCCCCGATTGATTGTAATCAAGGGAGCACATACGCCTAAAGCAATCCAAACACTTTTTAATGAATTAGGAACTTGACCAAATTTATCAGATAAGGAAAAGGCCGCCTACATAATTACTCCAGCCCATTTAATCTAATTCGATTCCCCATAGGATGTTCTTATTTGCGATTCACTTCGTGATTTTCAAGTTTTACTACTTATTGCTTGAAGATATGTTATCGTACTCGCGATTAATAAGAAAATCTCGCACGTTATAAAATTTTGTAACATCGCGATTAAAAAAACATCCTCTGTAAAACGCCTTGGTCAATGGGTTTTTCTTTATTATGCCCAAAACAATATTTTAAGTTCGATAAAATCACATTATGTTATCCATGTTACTACAATTAGACAATATACAATATTATATGTGCCAGTGACAGTAACTTTCATAAAAGCAGAACACTTTTTATGATAGAGCAGGTGGTGTGGTCGTTAAACATTTTCAGCATGTTCTGTCACCATAAAAGTTTATTTTGTGCTGAATATTCACGTATTATTTTCATTAAATGAGTTTATAAAATGTCTACTTGTTTAAAAAAAAGGAAAGTTAGTGGCTTAAATTTTACTTACATTTAATGAAGAAAAAAAATGTTTTCTGGAGGTCGAATCGAAAGGCTTTTCTGACACCAAGCTTCACAACATCATCAGAAATGCTACGAAAAGAAGCCTATAAAGACAAATACTGAACTCCAGGTGTAGACCACCCAATGTGGACATCATCATAAATATTTCCGCCTGAATTTTCTACCATTAGCGGTGGAATCTTACTTTATATTTTAATGAGACTAAACAAAAAGTATAAACTCCCAAAATGGAAAAATGAAATTTTCAAGCTGGTAATGCAACATGTCACTCTGTTTCATTCCATCTCTCTCATAGAGATATCTACAGAATAGTATGAACCAAGCCACATGCGAGATTGTATAACCATTAAAGTTAAGTGTTAGTGTACTTAAAATTTATTGATAATTATGGACTATAGGACAAATAAAGTTTAAAAAAATATGTCTTAAATAAAGTAGTTCTATTGGTTCCCATGATACTGTCTCCTTTGTACCTTTGTGAATGAAAAGGATGCATTTAATATTGTATCTTTTAATTTGTATTTCTTAACATACATAATAAACTCAGTCTCACAACACAATAAACCCTGACGTGTGACGAACCACTTGCGTGTTGGTACTTCACACTAATGAGGTTGAGGGTTGTGTATGATATTTCTTTCATTGGATGTAAATGAAGATAAGCTCTGATGAAAAATACTTGTTTTCTTTTACTGATTTTGTATTTCTTATGCTTGGGCTCAATAAGACTTAAAAAAATATATTGCGAATCCTAGTGAAACCAGCATCCAACATAAACATTCCCTCTGTATAAAATTGTAATTTATGCTACATTAGATAGTAAACCTTCTTTCTAAGGAGATGCCTACGTCCAGTAGTGGACTATTAAAGGCTGTTGATGGTGATAGTTACATGTTGTTATGTAACCTTAGTGATATGAAGATCGGTGGTAACCCGAAACATATATGAAATGGTCCTAACTACATGTTTCAACCCTTGGGCATAATGTAAGTTTTTCTTTTTTCTACTAATAATCATATCTTTATTTTTGAAAATATTTACTAGATAACACGATAACATCCAATACTACAAATACATGTCATACATGTCTTTGTAATGACCCTCGTGGCGATAGCCCCAAACACTTCATCTCTGTTAAAATTTTACCTTTTCTTCCCAAAATTTATGAGTAATCACGCCGTTTTCAATAAAGAATTGATCAAATTCATCAAATCACTTCTGAATAGACAAATTTATAACACGGAAATCTTCTTTAACCGCCGCGCCGCCTAAAGTCAGATAGTCCGATAAAATTTTCTTCCTCAAACATTCATAAATTCTCATTAATTGAATTGAATGTCAGTTTCACTCTCTCGGCTGCAGTATCATAAGCCTATGATTTTAGTTCATTTGGATTTATGGGCACACTTCTGTAAGATACAAATACGAAACCATTTTCGTTAATTATAAGGACAGTCGACTGGTTTTAACCTTATAGATTCGATCAATACCTGTCATTCTATATTGTACATACTGTTTTTATTGGACAAAAATTGATACATATTAATAATAGGTCTTTATAATGTTGGAGATTTTTAAAACCAGTATTTATACCAGAAGTAATTATCTTTGGATTGGCGCTCAAATAGAAATTCAAATAAATTATATTCCAAAGCCATGTTATTTAAATTAAAAAATTCAGTTATTTGTTTAGATAGTGTTTTGTTTTTGTGAAATTGTAGTCGTTTTTGGTGCCATGGATAAACTGAAAATTCGTACAATTTTCTAATATGAATTCCAAAACACGAAACACTAATGACGTGTACGGTATAAACACGGTCTTTTATTGGACCTGGAAATTTTGAGTTGAAGAACAAAACTCGGCTTCGGGCTTTGCAGTTGGTAAAGATAAGAAAGTTAGATAAGTGGGTGCCAAACGAACTAAGCGATCATCAGCGAAACTTACACGCATGCATAGCACTACAGAATGGGCATAGTAACGAGGGAATTCTTAACCGAATTGTTACCTGTGCTGAAAAGTGGATCCTGTACGACAACCGTAAGCGTTCGTCTCAGTGGGTGGACCCGGAGCCAGCTCCTAATCAGTGCGCTAAAAAAAAGATTACCCGTAGGAAGACGATGATGACTGACTGGTGGCTTGCCTTTCATAGCTTTTTACCGAATGGCACAATAGTAACGGCAGATGTCTATTGCCGAGAATTGCAAACAATGACGGAAAAGCTTGCAATTCAACAACCACGACCGTTGAAGCGCTCTTCCTCATTGCTTTTCCCCGTCAACGTGCGAGCTTGCACTTCATAAAAGACCATCGTAAAGCTACAAGATTTAAAGCTGGAAAGTCTCCGTCACCCAACGTATTCACAGAACCTTACCCTAACAGATTTCAACTTTTTTCAAAATTTAAAAAAAAAGTGGGATAAATTCAACACCCAAGAAGCAGTACAAAACGCTTTCGCTGACTTCGTCGCTTCAAGTTTAGTAGACTTCTAAAGTAACGGGATAAAGAAACTGCCATTAAATGGATTAATAGTAACACCAGCCAATTATTTAATAGTAAAGTATTATATCGTGAGATGGCATTACGATTTCCATGTCACTATTTTTCCATTGTTTTTAATTTAAAAAAAAACACGACAACCAAAGCTTTTGTTGTTATTCATACCTACATTAAGTGAACAATACCTACATCATGTGAGCCGTGTGCTTTTATTTATTTCGAATTTGACTAACAATAAATAAAACTAAAAAAGTAGCACTACCACTTACATGTTTTTTTAGTTTAGGTAGCTGGAATATAGTACCGATGTCCCGCAACAGTCAGAGCTAGCCGGCGCGTGCCAGCGTGAGAGCATGACGGACAGAGGCCGTGCGGTCCTCAATGGCCGGTGCGAGATTTGTATATCCGTTTTATAAAGTTAATAAATACTCTATTATAAGAGTCCTAAAGTTCAATATTGTCCTCATTACCAGTCTACCACAGTCCACTGCTGGACATAGGCCTCTCCCATTGCACGCCACTATTTCGGGCTTCTCGAATCCAGCTCCTTCCAGCCTTCTTGCGCAAATCGTTACTCCACCTGGCTAGTGGGCGTCCTACACTACGTTTGCCGAGACGCGGTCTCTACTCAAGAACTCGTTTTCCCCAATAGTTGTCTTTTCTGGCACTGTGGGATCGACGATGAGAAGACTTGACGTAGCTTCCCAAACGCTGTCTAACCCAACTGAATTCTTATGTTCACCTCGTCCTCAAAGTTGTTTCTACCTAACTGCAATGTCTGCCCGAGGTATACATAATTTTGAACAACTTTGAGAACGGTACCATATGGTACGGTAATCTGCCTCACTGTGCGGTCTATGGTGCCATATCTGCTCCAAAACCCAGCTTGCTTTGGTGATTGGAATTCGTTGAGTCTTCTCGCAAGACGGTTCGTGATGACTCTCGAAAACAGCTTGTAGACGTGGTTTAGAAGGGACTTGGGTTGATAGTTCTTCAACATGGTCTTGTCACCCTTTTTGAAGAATAAGACGACCACACTCCTACTCCATGCTTCCGGAGTTCTCCCTTCAAACAGGACAGCGTTAAAGAGCTTTTGGAGTTAACTTAGTACGGGTTTACGAGTACCTCCGGCCTATAGCAGCTCTGTTGTAACGCCATTCTCTCCAGGGGCGTTTCCATTTTTCAGCTGTCCAAGTGCCATCTCAATTTCATCAGTGCTGACTTCTGGCAGGTCTACGGTGCAGTGACGTGTTAATGTGGTTCTGGAAATCTCATTTTCGTGATCAAGTCGAGATGCATGCGAAGCTTCCACTTCCGAAAGGACTGCCGGCTTCGAAGCAACGACTTCTCCACTTGCTGGGGTCAATTTTGTCAGGTGGCTTCTTCCAAGAGATTGTTCGAACACTTTTGACCCGCGATTTTACTCGATCGCTCTTTCAATTGAAAGAGTATTGGAGCATCGGCGGTCGTGTGCTTACTGATCTCTTGGTTTAGAGTCCGCTTTGCCGACAAAGTGACAGGAGGGTTTTCACGTCGTTTCTTCATCAGCCCTAGGGTATTTTCTGAAATATTCGACTTCGTGCCCTAACCCTACATTTCAAAAAAATCTCGTACCTTCTTCACTGAGGATTTCGGATCACATTTTCGAGGTTGTGGTTTCCACGGCAGCAAATTGGTTTTCCAGTTTTTACTGGAACGTTTCAGATCCTGTCATGGCTTGGACCAGAGTAGGTCGGAGCCTGGATTTCATCAAACAGACACGTTCAGCCTTACAGTTAATATTCAGAGAGCCTGGGTCAAGTCAGTGATCACTGCCTGTATTAAACATATTGATTACTGAGACGTCTTTGAATAATTGCTTTTTATCCGCCATTATGACCAGAAATAAGATCGATTTTGATCTTATTTCCGGTCATAGCTACGGGGCTTTGCCACTTCCACTTCCTTTGGGGCTGTCTCTTGAAGAAAGAGTTCATCAAGAAGAGCCCCTCCCGTTCGAGGTAGTTGACCAGCATTTGCCCCCTATGATTCCTGCTTCCAAATCCATGGGATCCTACTACCGATTCGCCGCAATTCTGTACTCCCATTTTAGCGTTATAGTCAACCATAACAACGTTGTAGTGGGTTTTAGTTGTGCAGTGGAGGGTCACATAGCATTAGGATATGCCACCTAATCTCAACTATCGGATATTCAAGAAGCACAGAAAGGTTAAGAAGTGAGCTTCTCCAAGAGGATGGCTCAGCTGAAGGCACAACTGCAATCTGGTGGAAGCAGCAAGGAGACAGTGGCACGGGTGTTGGAGTAGTTTAAAACCTTTCGTGAGCTGATTTTTACCATGCTGGGTCTTCATCGGAAGCAAATTAGTGAGTGTGTTAAGATGGTGGATGCCCGGCATCGACGCAAGTCGCTGATCTTCTTAGGAGTGCCTGAGGCTATCAAAGAGATGTGTCAAATACAACTCTGCTCAACATAATAAATAAAAAGATGAGTATTAAAAACATCTCACTCCTCAATATAAGGCTTTGTCATCGCATTGGCGCTCCATCTAAAGAACATTATCGCACAATATTGGTGCGATTTATATGCGATGCGATTATTTACTTGGTTCCGGCTTCTCAGTGAGGGAATTTCTCACTAAACGCCGACAGACTGCCTCCAGCATGGCCCGAGAGCATTTCGTTATGTCTGCTTGTTGGACACAGGAAGGCATTATAAATATCAAATCCCGCGACATCTGTCGGTATAATAATTATTCTCATTATTCGTTAAAGTTTTTATTATTAGATCTTATAAATATCTATACATAATTTGAAAAACATACAATAAAAATCAACCGTGAGTTATATTGACCGAACAAAATCATACCCGTCTTCCATGGATAACTCGCTCGATTGATAAACTAAATCTGAAGTTAGTTACACAATGGGTCAAAAGTAAATATAATTATGAACAGTAAATTTTTACAATAATCAATGTTGTAACTATGACGTACAGCAAGAACTTATATATTGTTAGATACAAGAAAAAAATGCTAATGTAATGTGTAAAGTTATGCGTTAAAATACCTGGCTTTAATCATGTAAATTAGCGTGATAACTGTAACTACAATGTATTTAAGCTCTATTGCACCTTTTCTGATAACAAACATTAGGAATTTATTAATTAACATTAATTAAACCAACTTATAAATTGTTATATTTATATAATTTTCATACAAATCTCGAATTTCATAGGTAAAGACCTAATAGAATCGATCGTTTGCGTAACTTAATCAAACATGTGGTAGAATTACATAATGTCCTCTGATAATACGTATGTATGCATGAAGTTTGTCTAATAAGTTTGTAGGTAGATAAAGGCTTATAATCCTTATCCTGTTATATGAACACTGAAACGTGAAAGCACCATATGTGTGTAACTTTATCAACGACGAAGTTGGATTACTCTTCATAACGCAGAGAATTTACATTATGCCAAATTACAACATTAATTAAACATGAATATTAAAACGGTGTCGCTCCAAAGAGTGTGTTGATAAGCTACTCGTTGAAAGCTATGTCGCGAAAGATTATTGCGGGCAATATGCACATATTATTTGAACTACCTTATTAAAGAATAATTAATGAATTCATAATACCTTACTATCATTGCTGTGTATGTATAACTTGAAGCCGGACAATAAATCAGATCGCGCATTGACATCGGCGAGAGCCAATTCTGCGGCGGGTTTGCAGGCCTGCCCTCCCTGCCACCCTCCCTCGCCCTCCATAGGAAAGATACCGCCGATGTGTAGGTCACCGTCCCGTCGGCCCTCACTGTACCCACAACAGACGCTCAGCCACAGCAGCAACAGCTTATATGCTTGCTGCGCGCTGCATTTGCGCCGCCAGCACCATCGTGCCTGCGCCTTACTCACTTCACACTTGGCAACAACGAATAATTGCACTAAAGTCTTCACTAACAATGCTTTAATATAACAATACACTGTTCTAGTTCGAAAACTAAACATATTATCCACAACAGTTTTTAATTTGACTAGCGGACGCTTTGAAAAATTAAAGTTTACGCGCACGCGCGGCATGGAGGCGTCGGCGATTTGAGTTAAATATGATATCACCTGTAGGTGTTGTAGACATAGCCTAATAAGCGTGAAATTTTCTATAAAATGTGGCATAGAGCGTGGCCGGTAGCCAGCGCAGCGAACGGCGTGCCCCGCATTCGCAGCCGCCGCGTGACCCTCGCTGCCTTGCAGGGTCATCGCTCGCGGCGGGGACATGCTGTCATTGTTCACCTCTCCGTGCATTTTCCATACTCTCTTCTGTAACAAAGAAAAAAAAAGGTTTTGACTTCTGTGCCAATTATAAATTGTACATATACCAGCCGTTGTCTTTAAACATGAATACTTAATCTGTTTTAATTAAACTACTTTTTATTTACTTTTTATCCCAAGGTTCAACACGGTGTCCTTGAGAGGGGCATCAAAATCAAAACCGCACTGAGGTCAAATTCATTAACACGTAGAACCAATTATAATGTATTTCAGTAATGAGATTTAAGAAAGCTTGAGAAGGACATAGGCTACGCCTTGAATTAAATCTCATAATATCAGATAATCAAGAATAAGATATAATGTAAAAGATCATACTCGTTAGTGTAGTAATGTAGTGACATTATGTTCTGCAAACTTTGGTTTTTGAATTAATATGGCACGACCTGGATGTTTTCTTTATCACTCAGTTAAGAAATAAATATTAAAGGCTAAGTACATAATAGTGTCATTTAAAATCTTTTTGAGGAACATCAGAGGACAGATTTTCTACACAAACTTTAAAAGAATATCTCTTCAAATTGATTAAATCATAAGTGCTATTATAATTGATTCAGTCTTCTTAAAATAACTATTGTGGTTCATCCTAAACTTCGAATTCATTTATTTGATTTTATTTCCGTGGAGGCTTTAATCAAGGTTTAGATCACAATAGCAGAACACTTGATACCGAAACGGTTCTAAAAGTGGCATTCTCTCGTAACACTGGAGTTGTAAATGACTTATTTAATAAGAATTTCTGCTGGAGAATACAAAAAGCCCGATAATATAATCGTCCCTCTGTAATCGCCCGCAATGAAATGAGAAGTTAATGATTCGTAGCTTATTCCTTTGTAATACTGATGGTAATCAGTGAGAGAAAATGGTGTTAAATTAAAATGTCGATTTTAACAAAGCGTTGCTTTAATTGCGCATCCATTCCTTACTTATCAATCGTAGAACAGTGTGGTCCATCAGTAAATACAGTATATACTTACAGTAAGTCAATGATTTCATTAATTGAATATGTTTGTTTTTGGTATCTAATTGAACTAGTAACGAAGCCGGAATTAATAGGTACAAAATAATTTAAGTAGAAACTGGTATGACTATGTCTATTCTCTCCAATAAAGGGACCTCGTATGTCCATACGAGTACGCAAACCCGCATCTTCGAGATGCAGCACTCTCTATTCCCTTTTTCTATCTGAGACTTGTGGTGTACCCTAGCTCCCTCGCTCTATCTGGTTTCCTTACTCCAATCTATCTTCTTACTTTGCACCGTATGAAAACAATTACTGAGGTTCCAAAAGGGGTTTGGGGACATGCGGGTGGCGCGGCCGGTCATAAAAAAAACTAGTCAAAATCTATTGTAATGTTACACATTGCGTCTACCCTTAATAAAATTTTGGAAAAGAATAAGAAAATGATAATAACCTGGTCAATAGAATGACGTGTCAAAATAATCAATATTTTAGTCTTTTAATCTAATTGTTTATTACAATCATCTAATTACGTTATTCCAGTTAAATGTCATTCAACTTAGAATGAAACTATTTTTAATCCATTTAATCGTTAGCAGCCTTTTGCCTACCTGCAAATGCACCATATTACCTAGTATTATCGCATTATCGCGTTGCAGTAGTTCTAGTAACACGAGGTGATCGATCAGCGCTGTATCGACTGTGCCGCACCGATATGTCGAGTTTGCAATTTAGATATTAACCCTCACACCTGATCTTAAACTCACAACGCCTCGCTAAATTATATATTACTTCCCCTACATGAGACTTGCAACACATAAAATAAAACAATACATTATTACAAACTTTGCCCCTCTCACAAACAACATTTTCAGTGCATTTTACCAGAGAGATAGGGACCTTTTCTTTTTTTTTTTTTTTTGTTGACGGAGTGGAAAATCCCTTCGGATCTCCGGCTCCTTGGGGATATAGGAGCCAGGAGTATGTGGTGATTCCACTAAAAACCACTCCGACGGCCAGCCTTAGGCGCCCTGCTCTGGGGACAACCCGGGCCATGTGATTTCAGGTCCCCCAGATCGACGCCGCACCTAGCTAGGTCCCATCTCAGGGAAAGCCAGTGGCTTCTCCCTGCCTCTCAGCCTATCCAGATGTTGCAGCCCGATCACATTTTCAGTGCGATCAGGCTGCCATCCTTTCCCCTACCGCAGCAATTAATCTGCCACCAGAGGTCCCCACTCTCTGGCGGCCCGCGGTCCCGTCGGCTGCTCATTACGTCGTCGACGTCTTCTTCGCTCGGGATCGGCCCTCTCCCGATCCCGTTCAGCGGTCTCTTTCTGGAGCATTACAGCTTCACAGAAAGAGACCACTGCGCCCCAGCCCTCCTCACCCGCCAGCATGGCAGTAATGATTGCTGGCGGGGACAAGTCTCGTCCGATTTCATCGACCAGGACTTCGCGTTCAGATGCCCACGCGGGGCAGTCTTCCAGCGTGTGCTGGGCGGAGTCCCAGTCGGCTGCGCAGTGCTGGCATTGTGCCGTCTCCTCGCGTCCAATCCGATTCAGGTACTCACCGAAGCAGCCATGCCCAGTGAGCACCTGCGTCAGTCGGTAGGTGACGCGACCTCCCTCCCTTCCTACCCAAGCTTCGAGGTTAGGCAAAACGGCACCGACAGCACGTTGGCGCGCATTCCGCGGCTGTTCCAACCGCGCGCGCCACTGCGCCAGGGCCTGTCGGTGAGCGTTTCGCCGCATTTCGAGCTCGTCCTGGTCGTTCCCGCTCTCACCCAGGTGGATCGCGCGAGTCTGGTCGTAGACCCTAGCGTCCATATCCGCCAGGATATCAAAAGGCGGGAAACGTGCCAGGACTGTCGCCGCCTCCGACGATATGGTGCGGTATCCCCGTACGATCCGAATGGCCGCTACCCGCTGCGCTTGATTGAGCTTAGCTCGGCAGCGGGAGGAGGCCGATAAGCGCTTTGCCCATATCGGCGCTCCGTAGAGGGCCATGGATCGTATCACCGCACAGTAGAGGCGGCGAACTTCCTCCTGCGGACCCCCCAGATTAGGCAATAGCCTCTGTAGGGAGCCCGCCACCCCGCGAACTCGGGGGATCAACCGCTCGAAATGCTCCTCGAAGCTCCAACGGCTGTCCAGGGTGAGGCCGAGGTATTTGATGTACCGACCGACCTCGACCTCTGTTCCCCCCACACTGATAATCGAGCGGGTGGGAACTGCACCTCTGCGTTTCCTATGGAACCACAGGGCTTCCGTCTTATGAGGTGCAACCGTTAGACCCAGACCGCTGATCTTTTGGACGACACAAGCCACCCCTGACTCGGCGAGCTCTAGGACCTCCTGGAAGCCATGCCCCCCAGCCAGTACCAGAGTATCGTCCGCATAGCAGACGACACTCAATCCTGGGGGAAGGCTGGTCCTCAGAACGGCATCATACGCGAGGTTCCACAGAAGTGGTCCTAAGACTGACCCCTGGGGAACCCCGCATGTGACCTCCCTTCGGCAATCTTCGCCGTCCCGACCCATATACGATATGGACCTGTCGCGGAGATAAACCCCGATGATGTCTCGCAGGTACGGGGGCAACTGGTGATACACCAGTGCCTCCCTAATCGCCCACCACGGGAGGGAGTTAAAGGCGTTGACTATGTCAAGACTGACGGCCAACGCCACTCCCCCCCGACCGACAACCTCTTCCGACAAGGAGCGGACGCGTTCGATCGCGTCTAGCGTCGATCGTCCCTGTCGGAAGCCAAATTGGTTGTCTGATAAGTCAGGGCCCACTCGCGACAGGTGCTGGTTGATACGGGCGGCAATAACTCTTTCGAAGAGTTTCGCCGCCTCGTCCAGCAGGCATATCGGTCGGAACGCCGAGGGAGAATCTGCAGCCCTGCCAGGTTTCTGGATAAGAACCAGCCTGCCTTCCTTCCAGCCGGAAGGGAATATGCTATTACGGAGGCAGCTGGTAAACAGCCGCCTCAGCCTATTCCCTAGAACCGCCAAAGCGCACACCCATGCTCGACCCGGAATCCCATCAGGGCCCGGGGCGGTGTTGCGGGCAGCGAGACGTTTCACGGCTCGGTCCAGCTCTTCCTCCGTCACGTCGAAGTCGTCGGACCACGTAATTTGTTCTGACGGTGATGGAGGGTATGAGGGACTCCCCTGGTTCCTGGGGAAGAGGGTATCTACCACTCTTCCTACAAACTCCGGGTCCAAGGTCTGCGTCAGTGGTGGGACCCACGGTCTGAGCTTGCCCAATACAATTTTGTACGGGCGCCCCCATGGGTCCCTGTCCAGTCCCTCAACGAGCTCCTTCCAGGACCGAGCCTTAGCGTCCGCGATCGCGAGGCTGATAGCCTTCGCAGCGGCGCCGTACTCCCGCCTCACTTCGGCGATCTCCTCGGCTGTGGCTCGCCGTCTTCTTCGGGTTCTCTGAAACCAGCGACGGGCTCTCGAGCACGCTGTGCGAAGCTGTTCGAGTTCCGATGTCCACCAGTACACAGAACCCCTCCTGCCCCCCGGCCTGACCCGTCGCATTGACGCGTCGCAGACATCAGTCATGATGCCACGGAACCAGGCCGACTGCGCTTCCGGATCGGACGAGACTCGTTCTTCCTCTTCCTCTGGCCAATCCGCGACCATGGCTGCGACGACGAGCATATCTCGGTTAGAGAGATAGGGACCTACGATAGTTAGCGAGTAAATGAAACTTTACAACAGCGACACAAACTTCGATATTTTACAAACAAAGTGCACTGTCTGCCCTATCAATCATTTTTCAAATTAAAATTAAATTTGTTCATTCCATAACCAATATTTGAGGATAGTCAACAAGTTTTAATGTACTATGATAGAGAAGAAAGGAGACCTATTAGTTGTGATAAATAGTTCTCTGCAACGAACTTACTTTCTGATTTGCGTAAAGACAGTAGATACTTTTTGTAGGAATTAAAATGAAAAGATAGTTCAAATGATTAAAAAATAAGTTTAAACGTATATGT